TGGGTGGTGCTTTTGCACCTTCAGAGTCACTCATACCAGATTGGTCAATGTTTAGAGGCCAGACAAACTCAGCCTCCTGGTCCTCCAGGTTGGGGGTTGGAATCAGGGTGGCACCTTGTTCCTTAAAACGAATTCTTTGTAGCCCAATGCCAAACCCGCTGCCTTGCGGACAAGTTTTTGAACCAAAGGCTTTGGTTGAGAACCCTAATCGTTCTCCTGTCTAGGCCTGGGCAACCTGACAGTATCCCGCCCACGCAATACCGTGAATCTCTCTTCAAGCAACTTTCTGATGCTCTGGCCACCGCAGAGGATAATCAACGGTGCCCAATCTGTTACATCGAGCATGGTGGATAAGGGTTTGGATGCTACTGCCCAAGCCTTCCCGTCTTCTTATTACTTCTCTTACACTTTTTCACCCTCATCGTCCCGTTCCAACTTCCCTTTTATCCCCCCAGTTTTCAACCCCCGATTCTTGGTCCTCCCCTAACATGCTTTACTAGGCGTTTATCTTCTAATTTCAGCTCACATGCTAACGCGGAGCGTCACTCCTCTCCTCTCGATAAGCTCATGTCCAAGCAAGCGGCCCATTCCAGTTCATCGGCTTCCATTTGGAGCCCTCGATCCTCCTTCAGATTGGCATGCCTCAATGTACGCATACTACTACAAATCGGTCAACAGGCAGCACTTGCCTGAACATTGGCGACCCTCTCGATCGATATCTGCTGCTTATCAGAGACCCGCCTGCAAGACTCGAGCTCTTTGCTCAATCTGCGATCCCCTTCAGGTGACACCAGCAGCAATTTCTCATTGCGCCTATCCGGTGACGATGCAGCTTTGAGCACCGGCCAAACTGGTGTTGCTATTGCCCTGAGTCCCTGAACTGAAGCTGCTCTGGTTTACTGGATTCCAATCAGTAGCCGGATGTGTGCGGTTCGATTCGCTGGCTCGTTCAAAGCTCCGAAGTCTCGCGGGACTAATAGGTGTCTGTTCATCATCGCTGCCTACGCACCTACAAACTGTAACGATGATTCGGTAAAAACGACTTCTACCGCCAACGGACCCAGCTCCTTAGCCACAGAAGAAGCACGGACACTGTTGTGCTGGCGGGTGATCTGCACGCTCAAGTTGGAAATTTGTCCACTGATGCAATGCATCTGAGCGGTCAGCACGGCGTAGGCTCCCGTAATGATAACGGTGAGCGGTTACTTCATTGGTGTGAAGGAGCCTGCTTATTTCTTGCGAGCACTGACTTCCGACACAGCACTCGCCGGAGGGTGACTTGGCGCCCACCAGCCTTGGGCGCAAATCGATTACATTGCAATCATTTACCGCTGGAGAGGCTGCATCCAGAACTGTCGCTTGATTTGGGGCACATGTGTGGACACCGATCATGCACTTGTATGTGCTGACATGCGGATGCGTTTTGGCGGACGCCCACGGCGACACTGTGAGCGCATTGACACCAACCAACTGACAAAGCCAGGTGTTCTGAACGCCTATCAATGTCCGCTGATTTGCGAGTTGAGTAAGCGCTCACTGGAGACAATTGAAGGTCACCTGTTCACCAGACCTTACTAGCAGCAGGCAATTCCTCATGTGATAAGTGAATAACTAAGTAAGTGACATATTCCTCCTTGATTCGGAGTGCAGTCCAACTATGTGGTCTGATCAATGTCTAATAGTCAACATGGACATTGGGTCTCTTCGCGGTCTCTGGAACTTATCCATGCTTACCGGCATATTCCGGCTGGAAGCGAACACAATGAAACTCGCAAGACTCCGTACTAGTCTGAAGAGAGACCGAGGATCTCGGTGATCTCTTCGTGCGTCAGAGATGGAAGTAGCCGCTGCCTTTTGTAACCATTGTAAGTTATTCCGTCTAATACGAAAAAGGGGTAACAGGAAACCTGGTGTTAGTGAAACTATACGTGACGAGAGTGGACAGTCTATCCACAATTTGTCAAAACGTTTGGAGCGTTGGGTTGAGCACTTTGAAAAACGATTTAATCGGCCACAATTGTTCGATTCTTTCGCCGGGCCTGCTTCGTGGGCTGTTTCTTTGGATCTACCCTCTCACTCAGAAGCCAAACGTGAAATCTTACTGTTGAAGTTAAACAAAGCCGCAGGACCAGATGATCTTCATCCAGCCCTCTTCAAATTCGGAGGCTCTGCCCTTGTTGATGATTTACATGAATTACTAGTGAAACTGTGGGAGCAGCAGACTGTCCCAACCGACTGGAGCCGCTCTGTCATGGACCCGATTTTCAAGGGTGGCGCACGATCAGAATGCGGCAATCATAGAGGAATCAGTCTGATCTCCATCGCCTCCAAATTAATTGCCTTCGTAATCCTTCACAAACTGACTGGCACCCTTAAAACCCAGGTTCGTGAGGACCAAGCCGGGTTTGGTCGGGGTCGTGGCTGCATTGACCACATCTTCACCTTGTGTCAATTGTTGGAGCAGCATCACACGTATTGGCGGCCCACCGTAGTCGTGTTCCTCGACATCAAAGGTGCCCTTTGGAATTGTCTACTCAGGAAAGTTGTGCCCGAGAAATATGTAAATATTATCCGACCATTATACGCGCGTAGCACGAGCAGAGTAAGGGCTTACGACAAGCTGTCGCCACCCTTCAATATTCAGCGGTGTGAGACAAGGATGCCCGTTGTCACCTTTCCTCTCCATCGAAGTGCAAAACGTTTCTCAAAATTTGACATGGGCCGCCTCATTCGCTGACCCTTGGTTGGGATCAGCTTGAAGTCGTTCAAAAATTCGACTACTTGGAAAGTTTTGTCAGCACCCGTGGGATTGAAGATGGGATCTCGAACCGTATAGCAAAAGCTCGAGGCGCTTTTGCTAATTTTCGCCACTTATGGCACCGGCGCGACATCACACTTGCCCTGAAGGGTAAAGTGTACCATGCAGCGGTACGTTCGACCTTACTGTACGATTGTGAAACCTAGCCCCTTAGATCAGCTGACATAAAGAGTCTAGTTATGTTTGAGCATCGGTGCCTTTGCCATTTAGCTCACGTCCGGTGGGAACAACGCTCGAGTAACGAACATGTTCAACGCCTTGTCTACGGCACATGAAAAGGAAATGAACCGCTCAGCGCCGTTATTTTACGCATCAGGCTCCGATGGTTTGGCCACGTGTTACGCATGCTAGCCCACCGACTTCCGCGACGTATGTTGTTTGCTCACCAGGAGTGTGGATGGACGAAGAGGAGAGGTGGCCAAGCGATGACTTGGTCGAGTGGAATGAAGACCCTCACTTCGGAGCTGGTCTCGGTTGGAGCGTCACGGCTCCCTGGTTGGGGTTCAAAAGACGATGTACACTTTTGACCAGATACACTTGCTGACATGACAAGGATCCGACCTCAGTGTCGCCCGTGTTGTGAGTTCCTTTGTCCCACCCCATCCCTCTTAGCCTCCCTCTCCAACCGCGATCTCATTATTTATCATTTTATAATTTTGCATAGTAACTTATTTTTTTTCTGCTGCATAATAGCCGGCAGGTAGCTTACCGAAACGATGCCCATCCGTTAGCGGCAGCTCAGCTGGCTTGCACCTGTAGCATTTTATTCCCTTCTTTTCTTTTAGATATTGCGGCACAGTAGCGGAGGTGTTTTCCACCTCTAGCTTACGTGTGTAGTGTGTGTGTGTATGCTACGCAGATTCGTAGGAATTGAAGTTTGCATGTTAATCACATTGATGCTCTGTCATTTTGAAGGTTCCGTGATACATACAGAAGCGAGACGGTAACATTGAAGCTCACCAAACGAAATGATTTCCAGGCATGAGCTCCACACGGCTCAACATCGCAATCTTATTAGGTTACTACCACTGGGAGGTAACATGAGTTGCGATCAGGTGTGACTATGTAATAAACACAGTCTATACATCGGGGTTAGAACGACGTAAGTAAGTTGAGATTAAATCAGTCCAGTGAGCACCGATTACACAATAGGCGGTAACGAGAATGTATCTGTTCGAAACTTTAAACGAGATCAACGTGTGGGCGATTGAATATGGTGGTAGACTCTCAAAATGTAAGTGAACAGTGAACAGAGTTGTTTTCGTATCATGGAATCTGGGTTGATAGCCAGAGCACGTAAAGTTTGGGCTGGTAGATAGAGAATTGTGCGGGACGAACGTCTCACAGGATATGACATTCGGGATTATGCTACAGCTACATTCACCCTGGTTGCTACCCAAAGTTCTCGTGTTATCGTCAATTACTTGGCAAATCCAGCAACTTCAATTCACAAAAGGTGCACATCTTACGCCAACGAAGTTTTTTCTTGTATCTATTACATCACTTTACGTTGGACGTTTCTTATCTGTATACGTTCCTCGTTTTCCCAACCTGGACCCTCTTCTGCTCCTGTCAAACTTGTCCATCCCTCTATACTCATCTGTGTCTTGCCTAGTTGCGCACATCGTCGGTAGAATCTTCCTTATGTCAATGGAGATAACGTCCATGCACAAACGGTCGATCACCTGTTTATATTTCTCCCGAAATCATTGAATAGACAGCCGGATAACTTCGTTCTTTTTCTCCGGATACACACGGTCATGCTTTCTAAGCTTGTGTGTGTGTGTGAACGCTGTCTCATGTGGTACCAGCTGTACAAAATCGCATGGCCCAATTCACGTACATGATATTCGAACAAAAAATCAGTCTTTTAAGCCTCTCCGAAGACTGGTTCATTTTTCATCATTTTATCTCTCACTGAGGATACCCCATAGGGGTTTCACATACCATCCCCCTTCTGCAATTAGACATCGACTGACCTTGTTAGACTTTGGTATATTGATGTATGTAGGGAACTCCGTTGCACCCACCACTGTTGTCTAGACGCTGTCTTAATTCTCGATTTCGTCGTTGCTCATTCAATCTGTCACCCGACGGGCTCTCGGCAGCTCTACTTTCCGTCTGTATGTTGTTGTCCGTCCACCTGCTTCGAGCTGTTCTCATGGCGTTCTCCCCATTTCAGAGTGGAACTAACGCGGTAAAAGATCTACTACTCCAGCGCCATGTCTCTGACCCAGAAGTCCCACCCATTACCCAAGCGACGACCTCGAACCCTGTACCACAAAGCAGCGATGTTCAACCGTCATCCTTGCCTGTTTCCGTTCCCAAAGCTTCCGGTGGTGATCATACACCCGGCTGCTCACAGACCGCGCGCAAGGACTACGGACTCGCACATGTCACTCCGGCCGGTGTACTGAGTTGGAATGAAGTCCCAAAGGGCGAGTCCTATACACCCCTTCCTGACCTTGACTCTGAGCCGGATTGGCTCCTTGCATCTGGATTCACTGCCTCAAATCCGGTGAAGGTGGTGAACTTGGAGTACCGATTGCTACCGCACTTCCCAAGAGGGTAATTGTTTCCTCATAAAATAATCACCTCTTCAGTTTTCTGCTCATCTTTTTCGCTGTCTGTTATCCACTTATCAACTCAGCCGAGGCTTTTCGACATGCAGTGCGCTACTGTGCCTTTGTGAACCGCATTTCCGACTAGGGGTATTTAATCACTAACCCACATTACGTGTATGTTGCTCCATCGGAGCTTAGTGAGTGTTCTCGGGTACAACCATGAGAGCAAAGTGGCTGGTCCATATTTGACCGAGGGGTTTCCGGACCGAATCAATGGTTTTAGCAACGAAACGTTTGTTGCATTATCTCGATGATTCAGTTAAAACTGTTTATATTGTTTGAACTCCACTCGGTCCAAGCACATTTGTATACTTTTATAATAAGGTCACCCGTGACGTGCGTTGGATTTTCCAAAGCATACGGAGTCCGTTACGATATAATCTATTTGTGTTGTCAACAGACTTCAAATTGCAGCGCAAGAGTACACCTAGGTTCTTCAGGGAAGGTGTGGGATGTAGCGGTTGGCCATTAATGGTGTAAATTCGGCCATCACCACCCTTCTTCAGGCTCTTAAATACCAACTTGGATGATTTGACCGGGTGGCGAACTTCCGTAGACCACATGGTGAGGCGGTTTAGGTCGTGCTGAAGTCGGCTGCAGTCGTCTGGCTTCTAATTTCTCTCCAACTTTTAGGTCGTCCGCAAACACGGCACAAAGCGACCAAATAAGCTGTGGCGGATCGTTGATGTGGATTAGGAACAGAGTGGGTCCCAGCATCGTGCCTTGGGGTACTCCACCAGTAGAGGGATAGCGGTCGATTAGATTGCTGTACCCTCCACTTTCACCCAGCGAGAAAGTCCTGGATCCATTGATGCAGTGATCCACTAATACCACGCATTCCCAGCTTGTGAAGGAGGACCTCATGGTTTGCCTTGTCCAGCGCTTTACTGAAATCGCTGTAGATTACCTCGAGAGATTTCCCATGATTCACTGTCTACAATCATTCATGCCTCGTCACCAGCAGGTTGTTAATGCATGAACGGCCTAGCGTAATACCGTAGTGCGTGGGCGTCAGCAGATCTTTTGAGTGAAGCAGCTGTAGTAGACCTTTGTTCACAATCTTATCGGCAACCTTGGCCAACATAGGTGTCAGACGAATCGGCCCCATGAACTCATTCGTCAGCGAGACAGTCGGAGACAGCACAGTTACTGACTTGGGTCGTTGGATGACGCATTTTCGGGAACAGTTCAGATAGCCCGTTTCCCTGTACAGTTTCATGATCGGACGGCATGAACTGCGTCACCGTCGGTCTCATCCAAGACTGCTACTGTACACCGTCACTCGTCTCCAGGCCGCCGGCCCGAATCCTCTTGCAATTGAGTTATTTTTAAACGGTGATCAGATTGTCTTGAAAGAATTGAAGTGTGAATAGCTTGTTGCTTACGGCAACCGGCACATATCATATGCATTAGACCTGGCAATCCACATCACTCATCTGCGAACGTCTTCGTGGATGCTGCTCGGGGCGTTCTTTTCCGAATGGTTTATCGATAGGTGCTTTTACTTCTCTTCGTAGCACACATCATATAGCTTACAGGCGTTCCCCTTGTGTTGGGGTATTGGTTTGAGCCATAGTTGATCGGTTACCTTCCAATTTGTTCGTTCTTCCACGTACTACTGGTTCCTCATACAGTAGTACATACTACTGGTGCATCATAATCTGTATTGCACTGACACGCCTCTTCGAACGGATATGGGAGGAAGGGGTTATCTCGGGTAACAAGGGTGAATCGATCGCGATACCAGTATACGTGAAGAGTAACTACATCCTTTATACTAAGCACGGGAGGGTCAGCCTGATCCTGCTAATGACGGCTACTGGTTTGCATTCGCATCCGTCTTCTTTCTCTGGAGCCCTAGATATGGGTATATCAGTAGCTTCCCCTCCGAAACAAGGCTGAATGAATCCTATTTTCTTTCCGTGAGAGGTGCTCCAACGGTATCGCACCGACCGCAGACTGACTATAACTGTGTTTCGCTCTGTTGTATCCGATACGCTTTCTCGGAAAGACACTCCCATTTAATCTGAGGCCATATTACGTGCGCTGTATTTATTCAGCGTACGAAGGATCACCGGGCACTTTTTTGATAACAGTACCTCGTACTTTAGTATTCAGGTTTATGACTTGCATTATCCCCTGTCATTTTCCCCGAACTGCTTCAGAAAGACTACATCTTATTGATGCGATTTATAAAGCATATATATTTAGATACAACGGCTTGGCTAGAGGTTCTCTATTTCCCTCGATCATTTCTAGACATTTTGCTGTTTGTAATGATTTTTCTTCTAATGTGCTGACTGATCGATTTTATCCACTTAATAATGATCTTTCCAAAACGTTCTCTTTCGTTTCTACTCGTTCGCAGTTCCGAATTTTTTTCTTCCGCACTCAATCGTATCGTAGTACTGTTTTGCCTTATCTCTCATGTTTGCATATTGACCCAGCAGAAGTCACTAACATGCTGTGCGAATGGTTGTTGGGGTAAAAGTTCCGCTTTTTGGCACTTTTCACCCAAGCATGTATGTTGCTATTATCATCTAGGTGTCCTTAGTCGTAGTGTTAATACTGAAAATGAACCCATCAGGGTTCATAACGCTTATTTTGACTTGACTTGACTTCCCCAGCGAATCATCATCATCAACAGCAGTACATCAGCCATTTGAACTGATGCTTCGCTACCCATACAACCATGATGACCTGTGAGATACAGAATAAGAAGGGGGAGAGAAGGGGGACTTACTTGAAAACCTTAACGCCTTAAGCAAACATTCAGGGTCAAGGCGCCTACACCTTGTGTAGACAACATTCCGTCACAAACAGCTGGCTATCGTGCAAAGATAAGGCGGCATCAGCGAGACAGCTTCCTGCCGCGTGTCATAATCAGCCATTACCCCGCAGATAACTCAGCACCAAAAACACTTTAAACAGGCAATCCGATTAGGAGACGGCAGCAGACGCGCCACTGGCGTCTACTGCGAGCCATGTGCTGTAAAGTCTCGAGCCAAGCACAAGGCGAGTCACGTAGACTCCAGCCCGGAAGACGAGATGGACCATCGGCACCCAAATTGGTAGTCAGTGACTTCATTTCTCGCTGCCAAGTCAACTTCTGTTCACCTCGAGCCTTGCGCCACCCTACACCTGGCAGACTGAACAAGGCCCTCTTAGGTAAGCGGTGACCAGGCATACGTAACACTTGCTCGAGCCACCGCAACTTATTCATTGCTATCTGTTGTTCTAGTGAGCTAGCATGATTATCACTACTTAGTACTCGCCTACGCACATCATCGTTGCGGACTCGCTGATGCCATTCGACACCAGCAATGCTTCGCAAACAACGATGATCAAAGACTTGAAGGCGCCTCAGATTTTCAGACCTAAGAGGCCAAGTCTCACTACCATAGAGCAGAACGGCTTTCACTGTGGCCTTGTATACACAGCCTTTCAGACGAAGGGAAACTCCCATCTGTCGCCAAAGATGCCGCAGGTTCAAGAAGGCGGCTCTGGCCTTTGCAATGCGTGTGCTCACTTCAGTTTCTATGCGCCCATCATTGCTGATGCAGCTGCCAAGATAAGTGAATTGTTCAACCACCTCGAGTTCCTCGTTAGCAAGGGTCAAGGGGTCATCAAGTGGCTGGTGGTCTTGCAACAATACTTTGCACTTTGAAGGTGCGAAGTGCATACTAAATAATGGGACTACTCTGGACAGGCTATTCAGGGTTGATTGTGCCGCCGCAGAATCGTCGAAATGTAAGACGATATCATCCGCATAAGCTAGATCAACTAACCTTTCACCAGGCAGCAGTTCAACGCCTACATCGTTGGATTCCGCAAGGGAACACTCCATGATAAAATCCACGACGAAAATGAATGAGAATGGGGAAATCGGATAACCCTGACGAACGCCACTTGTGGTCGGAAAGCTATCCGATAGGACACGGTAGACGCTGACGCAGCCTGTAGTGTTCGAGTATAAAGGACGAAGATTGTTCACATATTTCGCGAGAACACCTTTCCGCGCAAGTATTTTGAACAGAATCGATCGATCGACTGAATCGAATACACACTTGAAATTGAGAAACACAGCTATTGTCGGTTTTTGACTTTCCCGGACTCGTCCCATGCTCCAATTTTTGTTCCACTTTGTCTTGGACTCCTTCATGGCGATATCTTTCGGTAATTCAGTGATGCAGACACTGATATTTGTCTTGAGTTGTTTGTTGTCTTTGATTTTACAAAGGGTCTCACCGTATTTCCTAACAATCGCGATGCGACACACTTAACTTGGGACAAACTGGATTGGTAACATCCTTTGGCGTGCGCTTTGAATCTTCGATGCGCGATGTGTTGTCGTCTGGCCACCAGCCACCCGATTACCTCTTCATTCTTGACAAGGAGGAACTGGAATTAGTCGGTCAGTTCAATTATCTTAGCAGCTGTTATTTGGAGCTGTAGAATCATGAGCGCTGAAATTAGTCCACGTATTACGAGGGATATAACCACATCCTTGAAGTTATGCTATATGTGGCGCTAGAATGGGATTCCTCTGTCTGGAAGGCCTCATATGCACACGACAGGTGATCCAGAACCCTAAAATCAACTTCTAACCACTGTGCCAAACACTCCTCACGGAGCTCAATGGCCTAGTGATCCTGGCGATAGTCGCCAAGTACTATGCGCCGAGTTCCACTCCCAGCTCGGCCTTCTCCACCTGCTGTGTCTAAACCAAAACAAAACCGTCGGTCGTGAAGTACAGGGGTGGGAGAAAGCCACGTCGAAACACTCCAAATTAAAGGTTGTCCTCCTCTACAGAGTTGAGACCTTGTCCCTTTCGGCCATTAATCGACTGGTGGCTGTGGTTCATGCGTCCTGCTTGCAATCCGTTGGTCGCCAGTTCGAGCCTACCTAGATGCGGACGACGTCACAGTACGCCTTGCGTCTGCG